CTATCTTCAAGAATAAAGTTTTGTTTGAATCAACTACACCACTGCCTAGCCAACAACAAGAAGCATTACATAACTTAGTACAGCTATCGAAAACAGGAGATAAATCAAAAACTAGACGTAACTCCGTACCTAAGTACTGAATTTCAGTTTCCGCTAAGCCGCAAGTAACTACCAAATCTGAATTTATTGCTTACCGTCGAGTAAAGAACGTCAATCGATCACCTAGTATCTGGTAATCGGATCTTTTACCCTCATGTCTCGATACATAACGTTTTGCGGTGTGACACAGGCTTTCCTACGTAAATAATCGCTCCGCATTCATATCTACTTTCGGTATTTCTTCAAATGTTTTCTTTGATGTTTTTCTTGAAGTCGTAATTTGTGATTGTTATTGAAGTGGGGTTATTTATAAATATTATTGATATTTCTTATATCATCAAAATTTATGTGGCAGAAAAACAGTAGAGCGTTTATACTTAATATGAAGTGATTTCTGGCTTTGACACTCATCTTTCTTACATTCTCATATTAATATTTTTAACCAGCATCAATTTAATTACATTGAGGTAGGGCCTGCAAACTACCACGTGTGAAAATGTGATCGGGGCGTTTTCAGTCAATTAGTCAACATATTTGACCCTTTAATTGAACTATTGTGTTGTGTTTCGTCGTGTGAGTGAAGTGAGGTTACCCTCCCTCCCCGATCTCCCTGATCCCCGAATCCTCAACAATCCTTCAATTCCTAATCCCCAAAACGCCGGTAACACACTTGTTAAACTCCGGTGTTTCAGGTTACCATGGGCATTGGCAATTGCTTACCATCAGGATTCAGGCGATCCCTCTGCTCGTTTACTGATCTACCACAAAAAATTTGTAGAATTTGCAAGAATAAACAATATTCTAGTTATTCTAGCTAGAACACAGAACACGCAGTTACAAATAAATAATTCAGAATTATTTGAATGAGAGTTATTAATATTATCAGTACAATAAACAAGTAAGCCAACTGTATTAACTCGACCTAATCCAATAAGCATACTGCTAGCATATGGTATTAAATTTTAACCACATATTGGAAAACAGTGTGTGATATTTTGTATCATATAATAATTAGTACCAACAGTTGCTGTTGTCTGCCCAGATTAGTTCCAGTAATTATTGTATTGTTTAGTAACACGCATAAACGTTTATAATGGATTAAACTTGATAACTAATTAATGTTAATTATTTCGGATTGTTCCTCAAGATCAAGAATAGCCGGGAGTCGGAATTTATTCCGAATGAATAACAATAAGCTGACTCTCTATTACATGGAACTGATAACGAGACTGATGAAAAGTAAGTGCTTTATTAAAATAAAAATGTGCTCCAATTACGGTAATAAATTATATAAACTACGTTTATACGACTTTAACCCCTTCGTTTTTGAAGTCGCACCAAAACTTTCTAGTAAGTGTAACAAACACTTTTCTGAAAACCAAATCAAAATCGGTTCAGCCAATCGCGAGATAATTGCGCACAAACATACATACGTAGGTCAAACTGTCAATAGGAGCCTCCTTCTATTTTTGAAGTCTGTTAAAAATCCGTGACATTATTCTTAGATTAAAGTTAAAAGCAAAGTTTCCTTTTCTTTCCCTAACACGTTAGCCGTCGTGTAGGTCATATCATTTGGTTTTCTGTCGGCAGTCAAAGGCTTAAATACCTTATTATTTTCTGACAACATTGGGTAAAATCATAAAGCCGTTATCACTATAGCTACTTATTACATTAATTTAGATTTTGTTTTTCGATCATCATTGACATAAAAATCGTTTCTAATAAATACGAACATTATTGTAATAGACGTTTAACAGTTGACACTGTTAAGTGGCAATAAACACACGTGTTTACACTTACAGTGTAAACGAACACAATTAATTCCACTTTAGTTAAAACAACCTAAAATACACCTCTCATTTACCCTTTTCGTTTCGTGGAAAAATAATTAAATTCACAAAAGCTTTACTGCATCTCATTTTCAGCTTTGGCGAAAATTAAATGTGCCGTAGCATTCGACTACGAACAATATTAAATTCCACGTGTATCACACACCGGATTATATTAAAAAAATATTCGTTCATTTTTTTTCACTTTGCTTTATTGAAGGTGAATTGCCACAGTCATACAAAGGATATAGATGTCTAGATTATTAAGTATCTGTAATTTGTAACATGCATTTTATTTATTTAGTTTAACTTAATATTACTTTAAAAGGTCTCTCCCTATTTCTAGGAACTCTGTTCAACTATTGTTTTAGAACTTTACTTAAACTGATGTTTGGATGTTTGTCCGTCAATCACGCTGAAACTGCTGAACGGATTTTGGTATATAGGAATGATATGCCTGGGCTGAGTTGGTGTTAGGATAACTAACTTTTTATTAGATATTGCAATATCTATGTCAGGAATAACTTTAAAAATTAGATTGTAAGTTAAATGTTACTGATCAGGCAACAACACTTTCTGATAAACCTGAACCCTTTGAAACTACGATCTCCAACTCCTACCCGTCTGTCAAGTGCGGAGATTATGGCAAACTCTCTTATGTAGGTCCCATACAGTCCAATAGTGGACTTTACGTATTGTTGAGATGTAATTTAGGTCTATGCAATGTCCTCTAAATATGGTTGACTGTAAAGGTTGGTTAGCCACATCTAGTGCATGCTCATCTGTGTTCCAATTTTCATTTTCGCAGCGTCGTCGCGGGGTGTCGCGACAAAATCGTATTACAATATAATTACAGAGAACTATTGTTCAGGAGTCCAGTGGTTGCGCTTCGATTTACATTCGAAATGAGACAAAATTTGTACAAATTGTTCGACTAGTTTCACCATTGATTTTAATTGTGCTATTTCCTGGTGCAGTCTGGAAATGTTACTAGTTAATATTTTATAGATGTTTCTTAATTGATTTTTACTTTGTACTTTACAATGTATACAGTAGATAAAGCACTGTCATTTTTGTTGATATCTGGAAATGGTCAAGTGGTTTTATATAGTCAAGGACCTGGTTTTTTGCGACTGATAAAATAACTAGAGACAATTCTACGAAAATCCGTACCCTTCTCACTGCGAAGAACAAGGCGTTCTACAAAATTACGTGTGTTTTTCATGTCACACACATATGCATTTAAATCGAATACTTATTGAATGCGAATTTAATACCTACGAATGTTTTTAAAATACAGTTAATGTTTTGCTTGAATAGTGAGGTGACTCAGTTCCATAAACTAAATCGTAACACCGAGTGAAAGTGTTCCATTCCACAAACAGTGTTGTCATTGAGAAATCCGCAAAATCCGATTATGCTAATACAGATCTAGGTAATTACCATAAACTTATTCGCAGCCTGTCGCAAAATAAACAGATATTACGATACGTCGAAACCAATATATTATTGTTTAAAAAATATTTTGAAAG